CTGAACAAAACAGACGCGAAACACCCCTTGGGTCCTACCCCTTTCTTGGTGACCCTGAAAAAAATAATGTAGGCACTCTCCAGATATTTGTGGGATACCCATTTATTTAGAATCCATCTGAGCACAGTCCCCCCACCAGCAAAATGAGAGTAGCGGTTTTTATCACTTAGGTTACAAGGACCAGATGCGGTAGAGTATATTTAGAAACGCCAGCGCCTGGTGGACTGTCTGGCGTATACTCAGCCTGGCTGGCAAATGCTGTTTTGCATCTTCTCCTGTGATGTGCATTACAGTATTTTTTTTCTTTTTTCCCCTCATACTTTGCCCCGTCTAGGACTTTTCCTAGACTTTCCCTTCATCTCTTTCTCTCATATCTCCCAATTCTGCCCATCCTCAGGACTGCCTAAGGCCTCCTCCTTAGCAGGACACCCCATCACTGCATCTATGCAGACTTCTTCAATTTCATTCCTGTCTCAAGATTTTGTAAGTCCACTGTGTTCCTTGTGGGCAGGAACTGTATATAGTTTTCACCTTTGTCAACGTCATCATCATCAATAAGTATTTTTGAAGAGCAAAATGACCTACAAGTATGAACAGCAGGGTGCTAAATATTGAGAACACAAACAGCCTTAATATAGCATCTGCTGCTTTCTGGAGATGTTAAATAACAGTTGAAAAAATGAGGTACTTAGATTGCTACATAAAGAGATCAGTAACAGTGGGGGTGGAACATATGTGTGCTGTGTCCCAAGGCATGATGTCAAGCAGCTTTCTCAACCTGGGGTCTGTGCACCTGGGGTCTGTGCTCATGGACAGACACAGCTTCTGGAGTGGGTCCTTGAATACATATGTACCTCAGGCGTCATTTTTAGTGTGAAAGATTTTCATGTGCACTTCTTAAAATATCGGATGTTATTCTGTGAAATAAAAAGACAGTCACAAATTTATCAACGTATATATTAAATGTAGCATTTTATATCAATTGCTTTCATCAAATGATAGAAAGATTGCAACTAAAACCATATGCCATTTTAATATTAAAAAGGGGCCTCTGTTCTAAAGAAATGTTGCCATCCATTAAGGTAAACTAGCTCTCATACTCAGATTTGATTGGTCTGTGATGGGACTTGGGCACTTGTTCAGCTTCCCAAGTGCTTCTCCCATGCAGCCGGGTTCAGACCACTGATCTCGGCCACGTGTCTCCTTAGGCCTGGAGCACCCAGGAGGTTCTCAGAAGACGTAGTGTTGAGCTGTGTCATCAAGAAAGATGTACAAGGCAGAGAGTATAATGAGGCGAGGGCAAGGGTTGTTCGTGTGTTTTCCAGGAAGAGTGAGCTGCAGACCCATTGCCAGCCAAGTGGGGAAAGAGGGAAGAAGTTTCAAGATTGAGGGTCAATGGAAGGTCCTGACTTTCGGGTTCTTCTGGTGGTTTAGATGTTGGTTACAGCCCTATCGGGTATAGATGTGTGATGGCATTGAGTCAACAGGTCCAGAGGAAGCACACAGCAGGTCTTTGCAGTGAAGGTGTTCAGGGCCTTATTAGATCTTTTTATTTTTATTTTTTTTTTAAAGAGCTAGAGATTCATTTTGTTAGTGCAGTTTTTTCAATGTTGGCTAATTTAAATGTGCACACTTGTACACACACACACACCACTGTGCTAGACAAACAAGGAGACCTCCCTGGGTGTCCTTGCAGCCTGCAGGGAGCAGCTCTGTAGGGGGGAGATCAGAGCACGCTGTGTGCAGAGTAAGGCACGGGAAGATTAACAGCCCTCGAGGTGGGCACTCAGTGCATATTTGTGGGGTGAAAGAATCACGGTAGGCACGAGGATTGATGGACAGGAGGCTGGGCTGTAGGGAGAGACTGCATCTGTGTAGATGGTAGCAATGAGGACCTGGGCAGGTGGTGACAGTGGCCATGGGGAGGAGAGGAGACAACATCATAGGCTGACTCCGGGTAGTTGGGGACCCTGTTCACCTGGGAGACGAGAGGGGACTGGGCACTCCTTCTGCCTCCCTCCCCTCTTGCTGCCGTCACAGTGCTGGCTGAATGAACAAATGCATCAGGAGCTGCTTCCTTTTCTCCCAGTGTGTTTGGAAGGAGTTTGAACAACTTCATTGGTATCCAGAAATAAACATATAGCTCACTTGCAAAACAGATTCATTTCCTAAAAATGATCAAATAAACACATTTTTTTCCTGAAAAGACCTTTGGAGGGTGATGCTAATGGCATGTGAGCTGCTCAGAGACTGGCCTCCAGCCCTAGACCTACAGTTGATTGACACAGAACCCCATAACCTATTTCTCCCTGTCTTGGTTGTCCCATCTGTACAGTGAGGTGACATCTGTTCTTCCTAATGGAGGCTGAATACTGCTGTCCGTGGTTACAATTTCAGGCTCTGGAACCAAATTATCTGGGTTTGTGTTAGCTCTGTCACTCTGTAATCTTGGAGAGGTATGCCCACCCTCCTTATCTATAAAACAGGAATAACAAAGGAACCTCCTCAGAGTGTTATTGTGAATAATAAATGATTTAATAATATGCAGCCCTTAGACTAGTGCAATATATGTTGACTACTTCATTTTTATTTCTGTAAGCTGAGAGGAAAAAAAGTATGTAATGGATAAGAATAAAGCATATAAATTATGATATAGGTGTAAGGTTTTTAAAAAGAGAATTAACTTGTATCCACTTATCATGGTAGAGGATGAGACCCAAATGTCACTCCTAAGTCTTATGTTAGCCAGAGACATGAGTGGTGATGGTTTGCAACCTCATCTGAATCTCATTTGCTGTTTTTTCCCTATTTTTAAATGACCTCTTTCATTTTACAAGTAATACGTAAAGAGATGATATTATAGAAAACTTAGGAAATGCATAGGAGGAAAAATAGCAAACCAGTCATGCCCCCATCACCCAGAGATCATTATTGATAATTCTTTACTGTATCTTTCTAGACTGTTTTATGATCTATTTATTGCTATAATGAACGCTTCTCTTAAAAATGGAATTTTTCAAAACAAATGATATCTTCAAGTTTGTTTTTCTAAAATATCGTTATTGAGCATTTTGGCGCATCAAATTATATACTTTTAAAGTATACTTAATTAGTACTGGTGTAATATTGTTTTAAAGTACCATAATTTATTGAAATTGTCTCATATTGACCTGTGGTTAGATTATTTCATGTGTGTTTGCCATTATTAATTATGTTGTACTTTGAACCTCCCACAGGGAGCTCTTGTGGAATTATTTCTTTAGGAAAATTTCTAGAAATGGAATTCCTAAGTCTGATACATCGGGCCAGAGTGCCCCAAGAAGATTGCTGTGCAGGAGAATTTAAACTCCTTGGGGGCTCACGTTGCCTCTTTGTGGATCCTCTGACTAGAGCAGGGCAGGAGGTGGGAGAGTGAGGGGAGGAGCAAGCCCTGGGAGTCTGGCACATGGGCTTGCTGTCTCTGCTCTGACACCAGTAATCGTAGGCCTTTGGGGCTGTGAATCTCTCTGGCGCTCAGGTTTCTCAGCGGCAAAATACTTTGAGGACTGAATGAGGTGAACTTCCTGAGGTTATTATTAGCATAGGTCCTTGTTGTTGTTAGTGCCGTTGAGTGGATTCCAACTCTAGCAACCCTGTGGACAGCAGAGCAGAACCTGGCCTGGTCTTTTTACGCCGTCCTCTTACCTTCCGGCACCATATCAGACAATGTTCTGCTGCTATTCATAGGGTTTTCATGACCAATTTTTTCGGAAATGGGTAACCAGGCCTTTCTTCCTAGTCTGTCTTAGTCTGGAAGCTCCCCTGAAACCTGTCCACCATGGGTGACCCTGCTGGTATTTGAAATCCTGGTGGCAGAGCTTTCAGCATCACAGCCACACACAGCTGCCACAGTGTGACAACCAACGGACGGGTGGTTTGGTTCCCTGACTGGGAAATGAACCCAGGCCATGGTGGTGAGAGAGCTGAATCTTAACCAATAGACCACGAGGGCTGGCTAGCACAGGTCCTGGTGCTGAGTAAATGCTAGCTATTATAAAATACCCGGGGCCTATATAAAATAGGTTCTGATATATAAATAAGGAGCACATAATAAAATATGCACATATATACATACATATATACACACATATACATACACACATATACATACACGTACGTATACACATGCATGTACATATATAAAATAAAATACATATATAAAGTCAGTTGCCTTCCCTGAATAATCTGGAGGAGATAAGAATTTCTAAAAATGTTCATCAGAGTGGATGATTCCTTGTCTGGTGTTTAGAAATGTCCTAGAAAGTAAATTGAGAATTCAAAGCATAGCCAGAAATCAGGTGAAAACAGAGAGGAAGGGGGTGTGCGTCAAGATACTGTCGCTCGTATCCCTAGTGCTGTCAAACAGCCACCTGCACCCACAGTGGCCTGTGTCAACAGATGTTGGTCTGATGGACTTTCTGGCCAACTGAGCACATCTTAATGTCATCCCAGCACATCCTCAATATCAGGGTCCGTGGGTTCCAGATCCCAAGCTGGTCACGGACCCAGAGCTGGGGTAGGGATTTAAGCTCGACCGAGGCCGACCATCGGTGGGTCCACTTTATTGTTTGTGATCTGTACCCCACTCGGAGGTTCAGGATGGGCTGATCCAAGCGAACTCTCTACACCGACCCGCACTTGATCTGTAAACTTGTGATCCTGTCCCTCCCTGGTAGCGAACACATTTTTAGGCTGTATCTTTCCAGGAACACGTCCTTTCAAAAACACTTCTTTTATTTTTCTTAGTTGTCCATTTTCCGTTAGCATTGAAGAGTGCCAATATATAGATTTTAAAAAGGTCATGCAACTCAGAAGGCATTTCTGAGGAGAGAGAAATATCTATAAGAATGAACTACTATGAGGAGAAGTACCTCAAAGCCGCTGGAAATCAACAGGTGATTGTATTAACTTTGTCGCTGGACGCTGCCACTGCATTCACCTTCTTGGTTGTCATTTTTAAGGAGGAAGATGAAGGCTCGCGCTCCCCCTCCTCCTGGAAAGCCCGCCACCCCGAATGTGCAGAGCAGGCAGAAACCTCACCGAGATGTGTCGCCGGGCCCTCACCAGAATCTGCTCACCATGAAGGAGAACCTGTGGAACAGTGCAGTGGACGTGACCGTGGTTCTTCCCAGTGGGCTGGAGAAGAAGAGTGTGGTCAATGGGAGGTAGGGAGCAGTTGCTGCGATCAGTGTGCAAGTCCAGGGGGAACTGAAGGGTGGATCCTCAGGGGGTGCGCTTCCGTCTGTGTCAGGGCAGACCAGCGGCCGAGGGGGTGTAAATCTGGGCCTAGGTAGCAGCTTGAAATGTCTCACTGGAATGACTGTGCTAACTGGCCCCACCATGGCTCACCTTAACCCTTAGGAGAGCAAGGACTGCACAGCTCACTGGTGTTAGAGGGTGTGCTCTGAAAGAAGAGGAGGCCCCCATGCAACTCCAAGTAGGTGACCAGCCACTAGAGTCTGTGCCACATCCTTGGCACTGAAGTTATACAGCCCAGAGCAGCCTCCTGAGTTAACCGTTCAAATGTCCACTTACAGGCTGACCCGTAGGGGTGTAACTACAATCGGTAATCAATTTTCCAAATGAAAACAATGCTAGTTCGGATTAAGGAATAAAATCTGACCCATGGGTTTTAAATTTAAGGGAGTTAATTTCCAGACCCATATTCCGTCTTAGATCTGGTCTGCCTGTCAGTGTGCTGTGGTCAAGGTCCCATGCCAGTACTTTTCCCCAAATCAGTCACAAAAGGCACATTGAAACCTTGGCAAAGCCTCCTTCAATCATAGCATTAAGAGTTTTATTACCAATAGAACTTCTAATTTTATGCTTGATATTTATCAAAATATATCATAATTATGTTGTTTGATCAATTTTGTACTACTACAACTGTTGTTACTGATAACTCGATCTATAATAAAAAAATTTAACAAAGTCACAGAAAACAAAAAGTTAAATTTAAATGTTTATACAGTTTTTATTGTAGAGAGCATGTTAGAGTGATTAATTATAAAAACTTTCAAGCGGGGAAATACATTTGTATAATTCTGAGGCAGGAGTGAATGGGTTAGTATTTATAGGAAAACAGGGAGAGCAAGAAATGATATAAAATATTTAAATCTTAAAAAGCAGTTTGTTCAGGTATTTTGAAAATGGATAATGGTGGAAATCAACTTACTCTGGGTGTTTTTATTCTTGTAAGTACTTTGAAAAGATTGATGCAGTAGTTTTATTTTTAAATACCAGTATTTAGATTCTACCTGAAATTATATCCTTGGCAACTATTTAAACATTATAATGAAAGTTCTAGGTGACAATTTAATGCACAAAGAAGTACATAAGCCTTTACAATTATGTTATGGGCGAGGTGAACAGAAGTTTGAGGCCCTCGCTCCAGGCCTCAGTATGTCCCGAGGACTGGAGCTGTTGAGCTGTGCATACAATATCGTCTGCTCTGGTAGATGATACCAGACTGCTTCCCACAGTGGTGCCTGCCGGGGATATCGGGGCACGCTTCTCCTTGGGGGCCCTCCCGTAGCTGTTGTCCCAGCAGTAGGGCTGGAGTACAGCAAGGGAGATCTATAGTGGACCCACGCGGGAGGAGCCGGGCTCGTGGCCTTGCGGCCCACAGAAGCCTGAGCTCTTGTGGTGGTTCCCTAGGCAGCTCCCAGGCTCAAACAAGAGATAGGCAAGGTACAAGAGCTTCTGTGTTTCTTTGTTTCACAGAGTGGTCCTTGTTCTCAGTCCACGTTTCCCACTTCACTTTAACTTGAGAAGCCTGTCACATTATTACAGGATTACAAACTAGTTCAATAGATGCATGAGATTTTATCAGTGAATGTATTATGGTTTACTCACCGTTCTTATATTTTTGGCCCAACTTCTAGTTACATTTTTTTTTAAAAATCACTTGACTGAGGTATGATTAACATATTAAAACTATACATACTTAATGTATACAACTTGGTGAGTTTGTAGGTAAGTATATACCCATGAGACCATCGCCACTATCAATCTAGTTACATATTTTTTAAGAAAATGGCCTGTGGGTCAGGTCTGAAATCCACAACACATGGGTCCAGTTTTACAAATGCCTGTGGAGAGACAGAATGCCTGCCTTAAAAGTAAAAATATTATTTTGAAAAATGTTTTCAAGCTCAACACATTCTTCCAGTTGTATCTTTATTTTTTTCCCTTACAAAGTAGAAGTTACCACTGTGCAGTTTTGCAATGTAGCTGTGAGAATAGGTGCATCCTTAGAGATTGAATGTTGAAATACTTCTCTCTTTTCTAGTAGTAAATTATAATCCCTTCTGCAAGGTTTCCTGTAGGATTAAGTGAGTCAAAGTAGCAGCCTGTGGGCCCGTTAACTGGGTCAACAGATGATAACTATTGCTGAGGCAGTAGCTTCTTGTTTTGGGAACTGGTTTTATATATCACATTCTTTAACAATACAAGAGTGGGCTGAAGTCAGTTCCTGACCCGTGCTTAGCGTAGATCTACTAATTGTTGACCACTGTGGTTTCCCTCTTCTGTTTTATTAGAGAACATGTCCACCTTTTCACAGGGTAAGCAAATAGTTTATAATCTATAGTCAGCCCTTTAACCATGGTATTTCCTGATTGGACAGATTCTCATAGAGAAAATACATTAGTAATTGGAGTCTAATGATTCCTCTCTGTATATGACAGATTTTTTTTTTTTTAGCTTCCTTTGGATTTAGAAACTTAAATAAAAGTCCCAGTCTATTCTTAGAGTTAAAGACATGAGAATCGGTATTCCAGGTCATTCTTAAGGAAAATGCTCTGACATATAGGAAAGGTGTTACCATCATTGCACATGGCCACTGGAAGGAGGCCACTGACTCCATCATTTAGTTGGGGCACAAGTAAAGAGAAGGTCTTTGAAGAGACAATGCCCTTAGCCTAAAGAGAGCTTCATAAACTGTATCAAGCATTAGAGAGTTGGGCTGTGTCCTTCTGATGTGGTGAATTAGTCCAGTCTAAGTTGGTACACATGTCCAAGGGTTCCGGGGCAGGAAAAGTCAAGCATTCCCTTTGCAAAATAGAAGAAATCTTCCTCAGTGTTCAGTCCTGCAATTCTGCCTCTATGGGCCATGAGATCCCCTTTACAATAGACACATTTACAACTGTGCTGGGATTTTTAGCTCCTGGCCCTGGTAAAACAGCACAGGACTCTCAGCACAGGTATTGGGCCTCTACGTGCCTTCTGGAGAAAGTGCACCTGTTACAAGATGCAGGGGAGGAAGGCTGTGAGTGACCCTCAGCCCTGGTCTGTCCTTCATCCGACCTACCCATCAAGGTGCTGGCAAAGCGTCTTGCAGAAAGAGCAGATGTGCGGTCTGCTGGCAGCTTCTGAAGGGCCAGTGGCCTGGACTTTGCTCTCAGGTGAGCTCACAGCTCCAGGGGCTGAAGGAAGCTTGCTCTTCTCCAGCACTCAGTGAGGGAAGGAGGTGAAGTTCGAAGGGGCGTTTCTGAAGCTGGGGAGTTGGCCAAAGGAAGACCCTCTCTAAATAACTGGCTAACAGTCAGGTTTGGTTTGGTTTAGTTTGATTTACATTTTCACTTGACGAATACCTTTTTCTTTAAAGACTTTATTTTTTTAGAGCAGATTTAGGTTCACAGCAAAATTGAGAGGAAGGTACAGAAATTTCCCATATGCCCCCTGCCCCTCTCCCACAACCTCCCCCATTATCAGCATCCTTCGTCAGAGTGTGCCATGTGTTACATTCGAGCCTACACTGACACTTCATAACCACCAAAGTCCAGAGTTTATGTTAGCATTCACTCAGCGTGGTTCATTCTGTGGGTTTGGACAAGTGTATAATGATATGTACCCGCCATTATAGTATCAAAGAGAGTATTTTCACTCTCCTAAAAAACCTCACAGGGAAGATTCCCAGGACACAGAGCCCGTATTGGTCACATTAGCTAGAGGTAAACCTCATTGAATGCCCTTTCTTATCAGCGCGTGTAATGTGTTTGATCATCCATGTCTTAACTCACCTCCCTAAGGTGTTTCTGCCTTAGTAAGGCTTTGTTTGGGCTAAATCCAAGAGAAGCTAAAAAAAAAACAATGTGTCTGTGATGTGCAGAATGTGGTCCTCCGCCTCCAGTTACTCCTGGATTTTCTTTATGAGAACTTTCCTGTGAGAAGCGAACAATTATAAGCGACTTGCTCATCCCGTGAGAAGGTGGGCATGTTCTTTACTGAACCCAGTGTTTAACAGTTCACAGAGGTACTGTTATTGTTTTGGATTTGGTGTTATACCAATCATACAGAGGGAAAGTCTCACATTGTGGGATCTTGATAGACTAAAAAGATGAAAATTATCGTTTATTCATTGAATAAAATACAAATTGAACACCTAACTTTTATGAGGCACTGGGAAGGGGACATCCCAACAAGCAGAAGGAAATAAGTAGCATTTGCAAAATGACCAGTTTGGGCAAGAAGCAGGAAGTTTAGTGCTGCTGGAACCTAGATTGGGAAGGGGGAGATACGTGGGCCTGGACGTTTGGGGTGGTAGTGTCTTAATGAGTCTCTTGTGGGCCATACTGTAGCTCCGTGGGTTTCATACAAGATTGCATGTGCCACCAGGGACACAAGGTTCTATTCCAGCACTAGGCGGTGAGTCATGAGAGAACTGGTGCATTAGAACATTAATTTTCCTCAAACGTAGGGAAAAATAGTTTTATATTAAAGTCGCTTGCAAAATTCACATGCATTTTAAAAATAAACACTAACAGTTAACCTTAAAGACATTGGCCTGTGTTCCAGGTCCCCCAGGGGGCTCATTGGCTCACCTGCCAAGTGAGAAGCACATAGAAAAGACCTGCTTCCGGGTGACCTGGACACAGGAGGCTCTGGACTCTGAAGTAAGATGACCTCCAAGATATAAGTCAAAAGATGATAAAGTCGGAGTTAAGAAAAAACACAAGTTACCATAGTGAGAGCCTAACCAGAATGCACCCCTTGTTGAGATCACCTGTCCATACCTGTCCAGGTAATGTAGCTCCTGACGTCACATCTGGGCAGGATAACTGTTAGGCTCCCAACCTCGGCACATCTCATCTCTTCCAGGTCAAGGGGCTCCAACCAGCACGGTCTTTTAAACAACATTAAAAGTTGAATGCCTTTAGAGAAG